TAGAGTTTGGTAATTCTGGCTCTAGGTTTCTTGGAAGGAATTGTGATATTTGTCATTTTATGACTAGAGAACCATGAAGGTTTCTGCTTGGTTTCTGCTTCTGTCTGCAACCAGTTCCCACATCTACTCTGAGGGAAGTGTGTTACACCCTCTGCACCAGGCACATACAACACAACTCGAACCAGGCTGCTGAACCATAGTCATCCTCTGAATGGGGCTTGCACCTCCTCCCCAGCCCTGCCAAAGAAAGTGCATGGGGAACAATAGCTCCTCCTGATCAGCAGAGGCCTGAGCCAGGAGATGGAGCCTCCTGAGTCCCTCTCCCTCTTCAATCACATCTATCTGGAGCTAGAGGGGCCCTGGAGCTCTTCCAGCCAGAGGGAGTACCAGCCTCAGTGGGAAGGTATTTGCCAGTTGGAAAGCAAGGATGCTAAACCTATTTGCATTTGCCCTACGGGCTGTTAATAGTTGCCTTGCAACATTTACAGAGATGGGTTGAGCCTGGTGTGGTTGTGCTGGGGTGAAGTCCCACTGGCAGGGTTTTCTGGAATTCCCGAGGAATGGGGTGCGGCTGGGTGCTTGCTTATAACCTCAGCCCAGCTCCCCATCACATCTTTCTGGTGCGAGACTCTGGGGCTCTTCCCGAGTCTTCCTAGCATGAGGCTGTGATAAGGACAAAGCAGTGGAAGTCGGGATGGATGACATGTCTGGGGTGAGCTGGTGGAAGGAGCCAGGCAAGTTGTCCCTGCCTCCCTCTCACCGTCAGCTGATGCACAGCGGCAGGAGAGAATGACAGCGGTTCCTGCACTGTTTCCAGTGCTGCTGGTACACAACCAGCCCCGGGGGTGGAAATGCCTCCAGCCCTTGCAGGGGAGGTGTGGGGGGAGCTCGGAGGAGCAGGGTGGAGCAGCGGAGTCCCCCTTGAAATGCGAAAAGGGTGGGTAGGTTTGGCTGCATTTTAGGAACGTGGGGTAGATCAAACATTAATTTTGATTCTTTTAAAGGAGGAAAACATAAGAAGCCATCCCATGTGGAAGGGGCTCATGTGAGGAGAGTTGTGCCTGCTGTTTGGAGAGGCATGCATGGTCCTCCAGCAGGCAGATGTCGGGGTCCCCCTGTAGCCAGGAGTGGTGCTGGAGGGGGTGGAAGCCTTGTGCCAGTGGAACAAGAACTCCTGGGGTTCAGTGGGCTGGTGTCAAGTGCTGCCAGTCATGCTCTCTGCCAGGGAATGTGGTGGAGTCTCCCCTCAGGATCCTCACGTCAGCTTCAGAGAGAATTAAAAATGCTGGGTTTGGGATTTTTTGCCTGGCTGATCACTGGAGACCTTGCTGCCAAGGTCCCCTGCAGTGGTCAGTGTGGAGTTGCTTGAGAAAGTCTTCCTCTCCTGGGCAGAGGAGTGGATAGCTGGGTGCTTCCCTGCCCCGGACTGGTACTGCTGCTATGCTTCTGTCTTTCCGTCACACGTGGGTGTGTAGACACACCACCTCAAAAAAGAGGACTGGAGGAGTTCTCACCTTGGGAGTATTCTTGGCTGATTTCTTTGAGCCCTGAGGGTCTGCCTTCCCTGCTAGTTGCACAATCTTTGCTCCTTCCTCCTCTGTATCTGCTGAGCTACTGTGAGGAGACACACCTTGGGGCGAGACTCTGAAACCCTTGCCTGTGAATAGCCGGAGGGAGGACTGGAGCACAGCCCTGCATATTCCCTGCGCCACCTGGGCAGTGGCTGATCGCAGGGACCTTTCAGCATCTCTGGCGCTCAGAAGCATACGTTGGCAGAAAGCTCTGGAGGAAAAGGGTGGCAGCATTAAGGAGGAGGCTGATTTTGGGAGAGCATGTTTGTGGGGGAGCGGGAACAGGGAAATGTCCCGTTTGCAGGGCATTGCTGCGTGTGCATCGCTTTGCAGCGGCCAAACAGCTCTGCTGATGTCTGGGAGGAGGGAGGCAAAGCTGACGCCCCGAGAGGCCCTGGCATCACAGCAGCAGCACAGAGGCTGCCAGGCAGGCAGGGCCCCTGCCCAGGTGCTCTGCTGCCATGTGTCAGCTGTGCCCTGGCTCTCACCTCCCTGAGCACCAGCAGCCGGGAGGAGGGGAGGGGACATCCCTGCCAAGGGACTGGCAGAGTGGGGGGTGCCCCTGTGATTCAGGGGAGAGCCGGTCACTGGGGGCAGAGGGAGGGAGGGAAGAACAAACTCACTTCTAGGAATTCAGGGCCTCGCAGGGATACGAGGCCAGACCTTGGGGCACTTGACAGCCAGCCAGGAGTCCATTGAGACAAAAGTCTTCTTTGATCCGCGGTGCAGTTAAAAAGGGAGACTGTTAACCTGAGTTAGACAAATAACTTCAGAGAAGCTGCTAAGCAGGAAAAGCACCAGCTGCTTGGGCTGCTGGTCTGTTGAGGATCCCACCTCCTGCAATGCTCCTCCACCTTCTGACCCCGTGGGATCAGGTGGAGGTGGCGGGTGGGCCTCTGCTTCCCTGTGTCCCATTCCCACCATATGCCCTGAGCCTGGGCGTGTGCAGTGCCCCAATCTCAGAGCCTCCCAGGCAAAGGGTTGGGATGGAGGCCCAGATGCACTGCTGTTCCAAATCGGACCCCAAAGGGAGCAAGGACAAGCTGTGCAGCTCAAGTCTGCGTAGCTGCTCTTAGGCCAGCCTTGGACAGGGTTCTGCAGCACTAGAGAAAAGTAAGGAGCTTCAAAGGCTTGCAGTTGTCACTGGCAGAGCTGCCTCACAAACCCGGGGAGGAGGACAGGATTATGAGCCATGTGGGCTGGTGATACGCTGTAGCCATGCTGATAGTATCTGCAACAAGCAAAAATTGGCACCTAAAACTGCTGCTGTGAGCAGGGAGTGGAGCTCATTCCTACAGGAGTCCCCAGCAATCCAGCTCCTGAGGGCCTGCATTTACAATCCCTGATTCCTATCTGTTCCCGTGATCAGTTAGCAAGGTGACACCTCCCAGCTCGCCTCCAAAGTCACCGTCTCGTAACACCTGCCTACGCTCTCCCCCAGTGAGTGCCAGAGTTTAAAATAAAGTTCCATTTCCTACACGTATTAAGTGTCAGGAAGGACCAGGGGCATCTGTGCACAGCAGCGTTTGTACACAAATGTATTTGGCTGACAGGTGCAAACATTCAAAACCCTGCAATTTCACTGTCCAGCTCTGAGCTCTGGCTGCAAGTACTGGGAACTGCATATGATCCCTTTTCCAGTAAACGTGTGTATTGCAAGGCAGAGAAGTGCTGCAGAGCCTCTCTGACACTGGGCTGTTCGTTCCCTTCTTCCTCGCGCAGCAGGAGTTGTCAGAAGGCATCTTCATTTCGCAGCTATTCAGTGATCCCTGAATTATACAAGTCTCTCTCTCGCTGTGCATTCATCACTGATGCTGCTTCCCTCTCCCTTGGAGACTGAGGAAGTAATGCCTGGGGATGTAAAATCTGCTTTTCACTGCAGGCGGACAGCCAGATCTGTGGTGAGATGCGAGAGTGACAGGGACGGAGCGGAGCAGAAAAGCTGCCTGGAACTCTCTGGTAGATCTGGCTGTGGAGGGTTAAAATGCTAATGTTTTCTGCTCTGCAGCTATCCCAGGAGGTTTCTGCCCTGTGACTTGGGCTGCAGCAGCCTTCAAAGCCATTGTGTCCTAGTTTAAATTGTATTATTAGAGGGTGGACTAGCAGACCTGAGGAGGGAGCACTCCTATTGCTCTGTAAGCAGAGGCGAAAGGCAGGTGGCCAAGGGACAGGCACGTGTGGGAGGGTGCCAGGCTCAAGCAGCCATGCAAAAGTGGCTGCAGGTTTGGGCTAAAGCCCTCAAGGTTTAAAAGCCAACGTTTAACCACCTGCCTGGTGGTTTTCCTCAACTCCAAGTGGAAAGGAAATGTTCTGCACTGAACACAGGCAGAGAGGAAATAGCTGTACGCTAGAAGGACCACACACATGCCACCCACTGCCCATAAAAGCCCCCACAAAAATCCCTGCGTTTCACAAGCACACGAGCCAAGTTCTCCTCTCAGTTACAGGGGCGTGTGTAGGGCTGTGGCTCAGACGGCATCCAGCACCCGACTGAAAGAGCAGCTTTTCCGCATGAGTACTCCTGAATGAAGAGAGCTAGGAGCTAAGCAAACACTTTGGCCAGTACTTTCATCCATCTCTTTTTCTAGTCTTTCAGAAGTATATTTTAATCAGTGCTTGCTTTCCCACACTGGTCCTTTGTAGTCTTGTTAAGTGCTGTCAGTAGGGCCCATTCAAGCCTGGTGCCAGAGTAAAATTCCCAAGAGATTGATGGCATTGCACCTGCCCACATAAACCCTGAATTTGGCCCATCGTCTGATGTCTGTAAACCTGCTTACTTAAGGTTTTTTGGCACTAGCATGCAATGACATCCAAACTCCCCTGTGTTTCTTCATCCAAGTCTGCTCCTCAGCCCACCGCCTCAAACAGCCTTTCATGTCCTCTCTGTAGCGTTTGTGGTTTCGCTGTGGGCTCATGATAGAGCAGCCACAGCTGTGAAGGTCAATCTTCCTCTGCAACCCCCACTTTTTTTTTTTTAAGAGAGTATGCAAATTATGTATATTATTGGGCCGCTGTGGTTTGAAAACACGCGCACGCACACGCACATACACACGATATCTGACAAAGCCTGTGAGGGAGTTTCATAACAGAGGGAAATATTGGGAAGGTTTTATCTGATAGTGTAAGGGAAGTCTGTTAAAACGCCTTTACTGCAGGCAGCAGGAATGAGAGGCCACCTGGAGAAGTCATACAGCACTGGAGCAGGAAGCATTGCTGGCTGCATGCGTAGTGTTCGGGGCTCTGCAGTTCAGGCCGAGCATTTTTTGGCTTTTTCAGTCTTCTGACCAGGCAATGTTGGAGGCAGCAAGAGGGTCTTTCTCGCTTTTGGTCAGGTTTCAGGCTGATGCCTTAATGAGGGCATGTCTGCGTTTTGCTGGTTCTGTTATGCCTCCTCCATGCTCCTTTGATTACCCGCTCTCCCACTCCACGATGCAGTCAGTATTTGCGGATCACCTCTCTAACGCTTGTTTCTCCCCTTCTTTTATTTTTGTCATCTGGCAGGGGGACCCCATACCTGAAGACATTTATGAGATTTTGGGTGGCAGCTCAGTGCGCTCCATCAGCGACCTCCAGCGTGCCCTGCAGATAGACTCCGTAGGTAAATCTCCTCTTCACCAAGCACTCCTCTATTTTTTCATTAACTCTTTGCAGGGGAGGGAGGGAATATTCTATTTTCTAGCAGGCACAATATCAACAGACCTCACTATAAATATAGAAACCATTTGGGAGCCATGACCTGGCTATTTACACACCTAGCCACGCTGAATGTTAGGCAACTAGATGCCTTTTTAGATCTCCTCCTAACTGCCTGGTTTATGAAGGAACACTGATGTCTAAAAATGATAGAAGATGGGCAAGATGAGTGCAAGAACTGGGGTCACCACTTTTCACCCTGGCAGATGCACAGGCAGCAGAGCTTGAATTGGCCAAGGATCAGTTTAGCAGGTGGAGAAAAGGGAAGTGGAAATACGGTGATAGAGAGGAAAAGGTCGAGTGGGTTCTCAGATTTAGCACCCACAAAAGGCCCCAGGCTCCCAGAGGCTTTTAGGACAGGAGCAGCAGAGCACGTGTCCGTGATTGAGTTATGCAACAGGGGCTAAGTCAAGGTAGTGTCACTTCACCTCCTGCCAGTAGATAAGAGCTCTGGGGGCTGCCATTCCTCAGGGTCACTTGGCCAGGGCTGAGCACAACGAGCGACAGGAGCAGTGAAGCATGGAGGGGTCGGCACGTGTGGGAATCGAAGCACGCGCCACGGCGGCTGGGCTGGCCCAGGAATTTATTTATAAATGGTCTCTTCAGAGCAAATTCCTTTCTATTCTAACCCTGCTCCCGCCCGTCGTCCCCCAGCCCCCCCAGCTCGCCTTCTTTCTCATGTTTTGTCTGTTTGGAGCTTTGTAATCCTTGCCGAGACACTATCTACGGGGGAACAGAATTTCCTGCTTTTGTTTCCTATGCCAGTCCAACCACTGGCGCAGTCTCAAAAGCATTCCCACTGCCTTTCAAAACGGCCCTGGAGGGGCAGGGGGGGGAAAGCAAGGGGGAGGGCACCAGCTGCGTTCAGCTATTGTTTGCTTTAGAAAGAGGCGACAAGGCTCCCCACCACCGCCAAGGCCGCTCCCTGCCCTCACCAGTTCCCTCCTCCTTGTCCACAAGCCACACAATGGGGCAACTTCCAAAATTAGCTGTACTGGATTGTCCCAGGCTGGTCCCCCCACCCCAACGGTCTTCAGTGCTGACCCGGGGTTTAGAAGGACAACCTGGAGGAGGGAGGGACCCGGTTTTCAATAGGAGATTTGTTTTGAGTCAACAGTTGTTGCTATTTCTCTCTCCTCCCATCATCTCAACCTCTGCACAAAAGGCAGCCCCCACCCTTGTTTGATAAAATGCCAGGCGGCGCAGGATGGAGGGTGGAGAAGGAATGGGTGAGAAGATGCATGCAGTCTGGTCATGTCCCAGTGTCTAAGGAACAGATACATCTCTATCACAGTTACTAACCACCCTCACAATTAAGAAATAAAATGGACTTCTCTTGCTGGCTTGAAAAGCCCAGGGGTATGGGAGAAGGCTGCAGAGCTTTCAGTCACTGGTTTCACTTCAGATCCCAGATAGAAAAGGCTGGTCAGGGAAACAGAAAATGGTGCTGTGAAGCTGTCTCTTTGTTACACCCTTCCCCTCTCAGGTAGTGATCAAGAGGCATTATCATTTGCTTGCCCAATGTGGAATTAGTTTATTAGCAAATAAGTGTATTAGCAAAATAAACCCAAAGCAGCTAGGGCTATTCTCTGTTCTGTCCATGTGCCATGTATGTGCCACAGCTGCTGCCCTCCACTGACTGCATAGGGAGCCAAGATTAGGCAGCTCCAGTTGGCAGATGAGCTGAGATACTGCCCTCTTGAGATGCTGTAGTCCTAACAACAGAGGTGTGGAGAGTGGGGGTCATCTCCTTTAACTGTGTCTGCATGCAAAGCAGGTGTGACCATCTAAGCCAGTCATCAAGACACCCACTGTAGCCCTTGCAGAACTATGCCCTTCCAGAGTGTGATCCACCAAATCTCATTTTGGATGTCTGCTGCAGGGTGAGATGAATGGTGTCCTAGAATTGATCATGCCGCTTTAAAGGATGTCTGCCTGCCCACCTCACACGTAGATGTTGACTGCACAGGCACATGATTCCTGCCCTGTGAATATAGCCTCTGTGCATCCATCCCAAATCCTTTAGCAGTTGCTTCAGAGCTGAGCGGAAGCAAAGTCCCTGCTCCCCCTTACAAGAGAGCTGCACTAGGGCAGGACAGAGGAAGAGGGATGGGACATGATAGGTATGGGAAGTCTGCTCCACCACACATCTGATAAACAGAGATCTTCTACTGGCCCCAAATTCCCTGTCAGAAAATTGCTCCCTGGATGCTGACGTCCATTCAGCTTCCTTCAGCTGCTAAAGCAGGTCAGAGAAGGAAAGAGCTGTGGCTGGGTGGGAGCTATCTCCGAGTGCGGCCATTGTCCAGAGCTCAGGAGGGGCTGTGTGTTGGAGTGCTCCATGGGGATTATGGGCATTTCTCTATTCAGCACTTCCTATGGGAAAAAGCAGTGGGGTGGGAGGGAACTGCTCAGGGCTGGCCTGAATGCTGTCTGCCTTCCTCTTCCATCGCTGACTGAAATACCTCCAGATTCTGCAGCTTACCTTAGAGTAGGATAGGGACAAAGCGATTTCAGCTTTATTTTTCTGTTCCTTTGTCATAAAACTGACTCTAACCTAGAGCAGTTGTCATGGGTTGGGAGAGAGAAGGCAAGCACCCCACCTCCCACCCATTCTTCCCCTTCACCTGCCCTCTTGCACCCCAATTCTCCCAGTCCCAAGCCATCCCAGCGAGGCACCTCAGTGTTATATACCAAACTTTCTGCTTGTCCATCTGGTCTTTGATACTCCTTGCCATGTCCTGCCCTCTGAATCCTTCTGCTACTCCTCTCTGACATCAGACAACCCTACTGTAGGATTTGTCATTCCTGAGATGGCATTTTCCTCTCCCAGACCTTTTCACAGTAGGCTTGTTGCTTTGAATTGCCTAGTCTGAGCAAAGAGCAAACCTGGTGTCTCTGTGCCCAGCACAGCTGTGACCTGGCTGGAGGATTTACACCTAGTGTGACATACTGGGGCCATGTCTTAGCCCACGTCTTTGAACTTTGCCTGGTGAGCAGAGCACAAGTGCCTACTGTCTTCTCTTGCCTCTACCCGGTGCTATTAGGTCATGTCTTTCCCTTTGCAGAGGAGGATAGCTCAAGTGTGGACCTGAATGCAACTCAGCACAGTCAAAACCCGGTGACCCTGTCTCGAAAGCAACGAAGCCTAGGTGAGTCAGGGGTGTTGCACCTTGTGATTGTTGGGGCACTCATGTGAGTGGCTGTGGCTGGGTGTAGATGCATGTCTGAAATCCACATCTGGGGGTACATGCAGGGGGTGTGCCTGGATGCATTGACAGATGAGAAGGAGGGTCTAGGCCTCAAGTAGGAGCTGGGGAAGGCAAGAGAGGGAATCTGAAGCTCTGCAAGCTGTTCTGCTCTAAATCCCCACCCATGCTGATTTGCTCTAAATAAGTGTCACCTCCTGCCTAGGACTGGTGCTGCAGTGAGAAGCATCTTTTTACTGGGAGCTCCTCCACAGGGTGCAGCTCTGTCCAGAGAGGGAGCTGGAGGGGTGGGAGAAGGAGAAAGAATGTGTGTGTGTGTGTGTGTGTGTGTGTGTGTGTGTGTGTGTGAGAGTGCCATGTGGGGTCTTTATCTTCCAATAGAGATGGCTGCAGCGGGTTGGTAACAGCCGCCAAGCCCATTTCATCCCCCCTTCCTCTCTTGGCCCTCCATAGATGCTCTGGCAGCAGCAGAGCCAGCTGTTCTCGCGGAGTGCAAGACGCGGGCGGTGGTCTTTGAAATCTCCCGCAACATGGTAGACAGCACCAATGCCAACTTTGTGGTGTGGCCACCCTGTGTGGAGGTGCAGCGCTGCTCCGGGTGTTGCAACAACCGCAATGTGCAGTGTCGCCCCATGCAGATTCGTGTCCGGCACGTCCAGGTAAGGGAGATGCCTCCTGCTGCTCCCTCCTCCCACAGCCCACCTCCATCCCTACCCACCAAAACCAAAACCACAGCGGGTTTCAGGTGCAAGGCTCACACAGCTGTCTGTTCCCTCCCACCCCCTCTGCAGTCACATCTTGTGCCTTAGCCATGCAGCGCTGCAGCCTCTGGCGCAGGGTGATGTCCGTGACAGCTACTCCCGGGGCTGGTGCTGTCCAGCATCTGGGGACTGTCGCCATAGCAGAGCTACAGGGCCCTGTCCCCAGCTGCAGTTCCACACCATGGTTATTTCTGTGGCTGGAGGTGGCCTTGTCTTCTGTATTAGAGCAGAAAAAACAGAATGCTTTCATTGTGGGAACTGATTTTGATGCAAAAAGAGGAGGGCTTGCAGTGTCGGTGTTCCATCCCCCTGCTGCTGCTGCAGTTTCTTCCCAAGACACATACTGGAGCAGCTTCTCCTCTTTCTCAGCCCCACAGTTACCTTCTGACCCACTCCAGCAGCAAGCAGACACCTAACGGCTAACCTCTTGCGCTGATCCTTCTCTCCTCACAGCTAACAGTGATCTCCTCACAGCTTCCTCCCAGACAGCTTGTTTAAAAATAATACTCATCCTGTACTAATCCTCTGCCTGAGCCATAAGAGACTCCCCCAGGCAGGCGGCAGAGGTTGGCTGGGAGAGGTTGTATTCACACAGCCCTTTTTATCAGGAAATTCCTTTCTCAGAAAAGCCAGGCTGAATGGGGGAAAAATGAGGGGAGCAGGAGTTGTTTTTGTGGAAAAAACAAGTGAGAGGTCAAAAGCCAGCCTGAAAAAGTGACCTGGAAATGGTTTCTTTGAGGACAGAGGTCTCTCTATTGTTTAGCTGGAAGTGTTTGTCTAATGAGCAGCGTGTGGTCTGAAGCGTGTGGAGTGGGCTTTCAAGGAAAGATAAACAGCCTGGCTGCCTCTGCGCTGGCTGAGGGATGCTGCTGGGGGCAGTGAGTTTAGAGGAATTCAATCCCAGACACGCAGCAGAGCAAGTATTTATAGCTTGTGGAGCACTTCAGGGACCGTGGCCTTGTTAGATAAGCTGAGTGGGGTCAGGCCTGTCTGCTGCTGGAGTGGGAGGACCCCTTAGAAAACTTGTGCCCTGTGGTGGGATGTGGAGCAGTGAGTCTTCCCTCTGAGTCAGCACTGGTGGAGAGTCTGAGGGAATTTCCAGAGCACCGCCTTTCCCATGAAACACAGAGCTGAGGGCTTCAGCCCTGCAAATTATTAAAGAGCTTGAGACAAATTCAGACAGGCCTCAGCAGAGCTGGTGAAGCTGCATTTGCTTGCATCGAGCCTGAGTCTTTCTCCTTTTGCCCTTCCGGTAGGATCCTGTGGGAATGAATTCTGGTTGCTCCCAGGTCTCCGCCACCACATCTGTCAGAAACAGGCTGGGGTGTTCTGCACCTCCCATGTTTCTGTCTGTGATCAGACAGTTATCCTGCTTAAGCAGGGGCAATAGTTAGGAATGGGGGAAACAACCACTCACATCCAAGCTTGCCTGGTCTAGGTCTGCTCTGCTGGTGTGTACAGAATTAGCTCCCATACACACCACCCCTGAATTTGAACCATGCTTTATAAACTGCCTTCTGACCCTTTAGGAAGAAAGGCAGTACAGAAGCGTACTGACACAGTATTTTTACAGAGAGGGAGCTGCAGCTGTATTAATCTTTTGCTTGCCTTTCTCTTCCAAATAGGTGAACAAGATAGAATTTGTCCAGAGGAAGCCAAAATTCAAAAAAGTTGTTGTACCTTTGGAGGACCATGTTCAATGTCGGTGTGAAGCGGTGTCCCGTCAGCCCCCCAGGAACAGCCGGCCAGGGCCACGTGAACAGAGACGTAAGGATCTTGGCATTAGTCGAGCGGAGGGAGGCGTGAGAAGACAGGCTGGGGAGAGAGGAAAGAGCCCTCCACTGGTTTCAGTCTGCTCAGCTCCAGTGAATCCCATGGGCCTTCACTGGTTTATACCAGATAGGGGACCTTTCCCAGGATGTCTGCCTGCCAGCAAGGGGCTGAAACCCAGGGAAATGAAGGAGGGGAAGGTGAGAGGTGAGGGGAAGGGCATCATGGGAAAAGGGAGAGGGCAGAGACTCTGGAGAACAGAGGACAAGAGACAGAAGAACAGAAGGAGGCCTTGTGGCCCTCCTGTCGCAGAGCTCTTTGTTGATAGTGTGTGGGGAAAGATATTTCAACATGAGCCGGCTGCCCCTCGCTGTACAGACACTCTCCCCTCTGTTTTGGCAGGCTTGTCACCGTCGTTCACCACAGCCGCTGTCTCACAGAGGCAGCGAGTACGCCGGCCGCCGGCACAGAAGAGGAAACATAAGAAGTACAAGCATGTCAACGATAAGAAAGTGCTGAAAGAAATCCTCATAGCATAGAAGTGCTGGCAGGAGAGAGAGAGAGCACAAGCCAGGTAACAGAAAGCTGCTTTTCCAGTTGGGAGAGATGTTCTCCCAGGACACGGTTCTGCCCAGGTGTCTCGGACCCTTCCCACAGCACTGGCAGTGTGGGGCTACTGCAGGGCCTGGGCATAATAAAACGCAGATTGAAGGAGGGGGAAGGACTAGGCTGGGACCCAAAATGTGCATCCTATTTACGGCTTTATGGCTCTTTGCAAGGGTGGAAGGATCATGCTGCACCCGTACTTGCTCTTGGGCCCTGCCCTCACCTTTCTCTGCCTCCCTTACAGGCAGAGAGCAAGACTGACTTCTCTCTACACCTAAATCCCCTTGGGCTCTGTGTAATTCATCTCTTCTATGGAGTACTCCTGTTCTCCTTTCTCTATTGATTTCTCTGTTGAAAGCAGAGAAATAATGTTGCTCTGGGGATCCCTTTTGCTTTTGTTTCATTAGTTGAGTTGGCACAAAGACTGAAAAGCAGCAACACATTTTGTTCATCTCTCTCCTAGTGGGAAGCCTGTATGCATAAGAAAGGTCATACCGGGGGAAAAGAGAACTGGAATCTCTGGCAGGAGATCTGGACTTTGTCAGTCCAGGATCTGATTCTCCTCTCTCTGACTTGTGTAAACAGGAGTAACTCCCTCGTCATCAGAAGAATTTCACTGGTACAAGGGAAAGGAGAATAAGCCCTGGTTCCCTATGAGAGAGGGAAAAGGGCAGAAAAGAGAGAAAGAGTAACCAGGGTGCAGACCCAGAGCGGGAGAATTTAGAGAGAGGCGGCACAGCCTAACAGGGAAAGTCCTGGCCCGTGGACTCAGCAGTTCCATCTCTGCTGTGGACCCTTGAATGGGCCCAGGCCACTTGCTTCACATTCACTTCCCCTCACCCCAGGAGAGAGGGCAACAGGCTTCCACGTGTCGCATTTCAGGAGCTGGGGATGAGGGGTGCCAGACGGTGTCTTGGGATTGGTATTCCCACGCTTAGCACTGTGAGGGCTCTTGATTATCCCAGGATCCTCCTGACCAGCCCAAAGTTCCCAGGGTAGAAATGATGCAAACTCATGCAAATCTCAGCTCTGGCTCAAGCTGTCCAGGGGAAAAAATAGAGAAGGTCAAAAGCCCTCCTGGGCTTCTAATCTGGCACTTCGACACAAACATTTCCAGAGGATAAAATGGGAGAGGGGAGGAGTTTCAGGGGGAGAGCATTACATATTCTAATGGCATGTCTGGTTTTGTTTCACTTCCAGGTTATTTAATATATTTGCTGTATTGCCCCCATGGGGTCCTTGGAGTGATAATTTTTCCTCTTTTTCCATCTGCCTCGACGTCTGATTCAGACGGCAATTGGTGCTTTCCTTTCCATCAATGGACCTTCTCCCACCAAAGCCTCTCCCTTCTTTCATATATTAGCATACTTTTAAAGTTTTACACACACACACAAAAAAGAACAAACATGACACATATATATATATATATATATATATGAGAAAGGAACAAAGTACAAATAAAACCATGAACCCCGACAGCCGCAAACATGCGACAAGAACAAGACAATGCCTTCCCTGCTCCAGAGGACAGGATGGAAAATTTGAAAAGAAAAGTGAATCCAGTATCTTCTGAGGGGAGGAGAAAAACAAATGGACAGAGGGCAGAAGGGGAATATTCTCCCTTTCCCTCATGTTTCTGGTAAGGCTGTGGGGCCCAGCTGAGATCAACACTTGCACTGGACCTACGTTGTGAAAACAGGTGTATCTCAGATTGCGAGCGGTGACCAATGATGGAAAATGCACTAAGGACTTTTATCACCCTACCTGGACATCAGATTTATATTTTTAACGTGCGTGCGTATATTTTATTTTAAAAAAGAAAAACCAAAACCACTAAGGTATACAACATCTCGGGGAACAGAACAAAACAACAAAACAAAACAAGGAAACCAAATGCATTCCCCACCTCCCTTTCCTCTCCTGCTCCTGGTGCTGACTGGAAGGTGTTTGGATCGTGGGGAAGGAGCGGAAGGAGCAGAATGAGCAGACGGCATCAGAATTGTCTCCATGCCCCCAGCCCCTACCAAGGGGAGCCATCTTTGCACATGCTGGTGGAGAATTCAACTTTCCAGGCTCGGACTCAAATAATTTTTTTAATTCGCTCTGTATGTGTGCGCGTGTATATGTGTGTGTATATATATACGTGTGCGTGCGTGTGTGTATGTGTATTTATACATACATCTATAAATATATATATATATATATGTTCGTCAATGGATTTCATTCCCCAGTGACAGGAAGCTCCGAGGCACGTGCATGCATTGGCTTTGCTGGGCTGGCAGGAAAGCACACTGTTACTGCAGTGTGCCCATGCGGTCCATGGTGGGATAGGCAGAGACATCATCTGATCTCTCTTGCTGCCCTTTTCTCTCACTCTCCACCAACCCCCCAGCACAACTTCCTTGCAGGAGGCGAAGTGGCACCACAACAAGGCCAACAACAGCCAAACTTAGAAGCATGACTTAATCTCAGTGAGCTGTCCTTGCCTGCTCCGTAGTCCTGAAAGCAGAATTGTGTTATTCCTCTGAGGTTTTTAACCCCTTCACAGGTGTCCTGCACACCCTGCCTCCACTGCTTTCTTCTAGCCAGCGTCCCTGCATCTCCCATCATTTCCCTCACATTTTCCCTCTCAAATTTCTTCTGGATTTTTGCCTGTGGGTGTTCCCAGCCCACCTAGCTTGGAAGTTGGTCCAAGATGTGGGCAGGTCTGTGTAGGTATAGAGAAAGAAATGAGGATGGTCTTTGCAGTTGGCAGCAGCCGTCTGAGACAGAAACGAGCTCTCCTAAGTGAGGAGGACTTGCAGAAAAACTGGGGTTCAGTCATAGAGTCCATCCCAGGCCACTGCCAGCTCCAGAGAAGGGAGGAGGACTCTGTGGACAAGAGCTATTTCTGCAGACCTAATACATGGTCACCATTAGCAGAAATGTTACGCATAGTGGGAATTTCCACTGTCACCTTTGAGTCCCAGTCTTGGATTGTGCCATGCTGGGCACTGCAGTTACACATGAAGAAAATGCCTGTCCAGAGCTGGCGTGGCCCCCTCCCTGCCTCCAGCCGCTTCTCCCCTCGCACATACACGCACCCCTATCGCAGGACAAAGCCCCGGAGGGAGACAGGGGAAGGAGGCAAAGCCGCAACCTGGGAGCTGTTACAAGTTGTGGAGGGACCCAGCCTTCACCTCCTCGAAGCCCAGAGCACTTATACCACTGCCAAGGCGCCATGTTGCTCCCTCCCTCCATCCCCAAGACCTCAAGTCTTAAGACACTTCGTTTTTCTGTTCCAAAATCTGTTTCCTTTGGTTTGTAAAGATGGTGAGGTTTTATATTTTAATTTTTGGGGGCTTTTTTTTAAATGTAAGATTAATTTATACTCAGTACTGTATTTAAAGTTGTAAAAAAAAAAAAAAGAAAAAAGAAAACTGCCTCTCAAACAACATTTTCTCTTTTTTTTTTTTTTTGAGCTGAATGAAATTCAGAGGCCAGACTAGCTCACTGTGGGGCAGGGTGGGATTCCCAGAGGGCTCCAGTTTCATTTTCAAGATACTTATTCTGAGATTGCAGAGAGAAGCAACCAAAGCTGGGAAAATCCTGGGAGCCCACTCACAGCCCTGCCCATGGTCGGCAGTGCTGCACTCCGCCTTCCCTCTTGTCACCCAGCACTCAGGCTGGTTTGAAATGACTCAGGTGCTGGGGATTTTGTCTCAAAGAGGTCCCCTCTGTTTGGACACTCGGCCAGAATTTCCCTGTGCTTTCATCTGATCTCGAGATTCCTCTGCTTTGAAGGGCTGGGGACAGTCAGCACTGTTTACGTTGCCCGAAGCTGTACAAACAGTCGGCCCCTTCCCTCCTTAGTCACATCTAGACAACAGCAGTCCTTCCCTGGCCGGAAGGGCCATTGCGCTTCCCTTTCCTCCCAGCAAGGGAGGTATCACACATCTGGCGCTTGGGCACGAGGCCACGGGGAGTGAAGGCAGCTGCTGCCTTGTGCCTCAATTTCGGGGTACCCCCAGCACATGCACAGCACTCCCAGTCTATGGCTCAGCTCTGAGGAGGGGAGACCCAAGTGAGGACTTGTGCTGCAGTGGTGAACCCAGGGAGCTTGATGTGCTCCAGGCTGTCCTTGAAGGATAAGGCTGGCACTCCCAGGTGTGTGCCTCATTCTGGCATTGTTCATTTTGGGGTGAGGGCACATTTTTCCCAATCCTCCAAAGGGAGTTGGAGCAGGGATGAGCTCTACCCACCCCTGAGGATAGAAAGCATGGGCAAAATCACAGTGAGGATAATAATCACATCCCTGATCTGATTTCCTTAGGATGATCTGGTGAGAAGAAAGATATTTGGTGTGAGACTTCTGTAGGCTAGAAGGCCTGTCTGCAGGGAATTTGGGGAGCAACAGGTGCAAAGAGGGGTACAAGGCACAGGAAGCATAGATGCATCAGCCTGGACCAGGGGTGGGAGGAATGGCTTGGCACCCCAGGGGACAGCACACTGCCTGGCCATGGCGGTCCCGGGGCAGGCGTGCAGCCCCATCCACAAGCATGCACCTGCTTTTAACAGCTCAAAATGAATAGGTGCTGAAAGAAGCTGCGGGCCCGGATGCCTGGAGCTGACACCTCCGCAGCGCCTGGCGTCCGCTTGCAGCAGCTGCTCGGGTGCTCGCTCGAACGCCGTTTGCTCACAGTGCCTTGGCGCACACTCAGTACAGGTCAGCGTGGGGTGCAGGAAGGCGGGCACCCACGTCGCTTCTCAAGGCTGGAGCAGGTGGTTTACATCCACCCCACAAAGCCAAGCTTGGGAATTAAATCCTGAAATAAGCCCTGGGAGGGCTGCGGCAAGCCTCCGGAAAGCATCTCCTCTGTGCAGAGATGCCAGCTTGGCTCGCCCAGTGCTACAGGTGATCTCAGAAGTGCCGGGGAGCCTTGGTAACTCTCCCTGGTTTAATTGCTCAACCGCTGCTTTACCTAAAGGCCCGGTCTCATGTCATTCAACAGGAGGTTCATCTTTTGATGGAGGAAATGCATCCAGCCTTCCAGGCAGTGGAGAGAGGTTTTGGTGATGGGTTCCCCTGCAAGAACATGGCTCCTGAAAGTGGCAAGCAGGTGGGAGAGTGAGCTCGTGGGCTATCCAGGTACAAAAAGCAACCCCCCGTGTTTTACAGCCAGGCTTTGGGCTTTTTAGAGTTGAGAGTTTGCAACACTGAAGCTGTTGCACAGCTAAATGAAGTGAAAAATCAGTTTGCAAGAATTTTCTCACTGGGCCCAGGAAAACCCTTGTCTGCTTATTTTGTTGGCACTCAGGAATACAAACAGCTTAAGCTCACCCCCACACCTGGCCATGGCTCGAAGGAAGAGCCTTCTTCAGCCCAGCCATGTGGCATGAATCCCACACAGGCATTCCCCTCCCTGTGCTCAGCTCACGCCTCCCTGGCATGAGCCGTGCCCCCCATGATGGCCACCCTGTCCTGCTGCCTCACCTGCCCACGCTCCGGACACAGCTGGAGAGGGCTCGGTGGGAACCATTGCCATCCCACTCGATCCCGGGGCGGGACGGGGATGTGTTGGAGGGTGGCCCTCCCCTCACTGTCCATGCAGCAGTGGGCTCTGGGGGTGGAGAAGCTGGCTGTGCCAAGGGAAAAGCAAGGTACAAAGATGGAGGAAAATATGAAGAATTAAAAGCTATTTAGGAAAAAAAAAGAAACCAACGAAACACAAAAACCCCAACAAGCCAACAAAAACTCCTTGCCTGAGCATGCAGCTGTTCCCCACTCGCCTTCATGCAGCCCGTGACCAAATGGTACCCCCTCCCCCCCCACCCCCGCCCCAGCCATGATCTGCCCATGACCAAGTCAACTTGTTGCAGGCTTGGGAATTTCCAGTCTTAAAAGATGTTGTGAGGAAGCCAGGCAGCCTCGGCTGTTTTTAGATTTCATCTCAGAGTTAAAGTAACAACAGACCCCCACAAAACATTAATAGGAAGAGGGTGGGAACTAGAGGGAACCCCAGATGCCGGGGCCTCCCTGCAAGTAGTGCAGGCACTCGGTTAACACAAGAGCGACAGTCACAGCAGTGGGTCCATGGGGCTATAGCAGAGGAGCCAGGAGGCTGAAGAGACCAAAATATAAAATTATGACAGGGCTTACCTACCATTTTTCCTCCCCCAGCCAGGCAGATACCAAATGTGACTCTCTGGTTCGATGGACTGCCTTGGTTTCACAGCAAAGGACATAGCAATGCTGGAAGGAAAGCAACCTCAAGGGAAACAACTCCTTTGTCATTAATAACTCAATAAAGGAGCTGTTTGCAAGCAATTAAACAGCAACCCAAACACGGCAGGGACCCAAGCAGCAGGGAGGTTTGTGGCTTGACAGTCAATGTGTGTTTTGAAATGTTTGCTGTGATTTTTTTTTTTGCACGTGCTGCAAAAACAAAGGATCGACCATGCAGAGATGCTGGGCAAGCAGCTCTGCTGCAGGTCTTGCCCCAGCAGCTTTGGAAACCCCCAAGTTCCCAAATGCCCTGACCTTTGGCCCTGGCCACCACTGGTCAATGCAGTCAGTGAAAGCAAGCTCTGCTCCCCAAACCCCGGCCCTGTTCGGGTGTCTTCTGCATGAGGAGAAACTATTCTTTCAGTACAGATCTCAGCACAGACTCAGGGGAGAGCAGAAGAGAGTGTTAGCTACTGCTGGTCCCTGCAGCACAGAGCTGGCTGTGAGTGATGACATCAGAGACGAAAGTAAATGAGGCCATTACAGAAGTGGTGATTAATGAACCAAGGTGTGCTCCCAGAAAGAATCCCTTATTCAGACATGCAGCCCAGGGCACCCATCAGGCGGCTGGCCAGAGGGCTCTGGAGGCCCCATAGATGATCTTCTTCCCCAGTGACATCAGATGTTGCCCCACGAGGGTCCAGCAAAGGGACAGCCCAGTGTGCATGCATGGAGTCACATGTGAACCACACCACGCACCCTGCCCTGAGTGCTTTGGCTGCCCAAAATAGTCAGGTGGCTGTAAGGACGCAAGCTGCGGCATATGTGGCAGGAAGGATGCTCACTCTCCACTCTGGCAGGCAGGGGCCAGACCTCCCATCACAGGCAGAGCTGCACAGGTGGAGCGGAGCTTAGCCAGGCATGCACAGCAGGCTGCGGAGGAGGTCCTGAAGACGACCACCTCCGTGGAGGGGATTCCACCACACCCCAGGCCATGGCTGGGGATGTCAGCAGGCTCCATGGCTGTCAGTGGCATGGCAGAACACTCAGGAGAGCTGACATTAGAGAATGCCAGGGTGTTAGCGGCTCCCAGAAAGGAGGGCAAGAAGGTTTTCCATGACCCTGCACATGCTGGCTTGATGTCTGCAAGGAAAAGCCCTGGGAGGTGCCTGTGTTTCTGTGAAGTGCCTGTAATTCCCCAAGCCCTGGGCTGGCTGCATGTGTCCAGGTAAAGCAGGATGGGGAACAGCCCCGAGGAGGGCATCACTTGTGCTGGGGCAGGGGGGTGCACTGCAAAGAAGCCTGTGCCTTTAAGGCCTGCAGAGGTGTTATTTAGTTGGAAAAATTGTTCCACCATGATGATGGAAATTGTTCTTATTTCACTAATTGACAGAGGAGAGAGAAAGAGAGAGAGAGAAAAGACCTTCCTTCCCTCTGACATGTTCAGGAATTTTTTCCGCTAATCAAGAAGAAAACAAAACACGCTGGGAGGGGGAGGGGAGGAAAAGGGGGGTCTCCCTGGCGTCCCATAAACCTGGTGGCCATGGACAAAGCACCACAATCGCAGCATAGCCTTGCCCTGGAAAGTTTGAGGCAACACTGGCTAGCTGAGCAAAGAGGAAGCACAACTCTCACTGGCGGAAGACCCCACTTTGGAGCATCCCAGGCTGGGCAAGGGGCAGCTCCCTCCCAGAAGGATGCCCAAATCCAGATGGGGCTCTCTATCTGCAAAGGGCAGGAGTGGCTCCTGCTGCAGCGAGGCAGATGGCCAGTGGTGCAGGTTTGTCCCTGGGAAGGGATGGGGGATGCTCTACTCATCAGAGCATCACACCAGCTTTGTCAGCTGGTTGTAAAAGGACCGAAATGGATGCTCTTTACATTCAGGTTTAGCTGGGATGAGGCTCTCCTGGCTCCACTGAGGAGGGTGTGAACATCCCAGCAATTGAATGAAGCATTTTCCCAGCACAGCCACCTTCCAACATATTAAATGAAACAGAAAGGAGCAGCTGAACAGGATTTGCAGTTTTTTCTCCATTATATGTATTTTCCCTTTTCCACGGATAGTCCCACTGGGTACACTGTGACCTATTGTAGTTATTTATTTACTCAGGTTTTGTAGGTGATTTCAAAGCTCGTGGCCAGGAAGAGCAACCAGATGCTGC